GAGAAATTGCCCATTCTCAATTGGATTTAGGTCTGGACTTTGACTCGGCCATTCTAACACATGAATATTCTTCGATCTAAACCATTCCATTGTAGCTCTGGCTGTATGTTTAGGGTCGTTGTCCTGCTGGAAGGTGAACCTCCGCCCCAGTCTCAAGTCTTTTGCAGACTCTAACAGGCTTTCATCTAAGATTGCCCTGCATTTGGCTCCATCCATCTTCCCATCAACTCTGACCAGCTTCCCTGTCCCTGCTGAAGAAAAGCATCCCACGCATCCCATCCCATCACAACATGATGCTGCCACCACCATGTTTCACGGTGGGGGTGGTGTGTTCAGGGTGATGTGCAGTGTTAGGTTTCAGCCACACATAGCGTTTTGCATTTATGCCAAAAAGTTAAATTTTGGTCTCATCTGACCAGAGCACCTTCTTCCACATGTTTGCTGTGTCCCCCCATGGCTTGTTGCAAACTGCAAACGGGACTTCTTGTGGCTTTCTTTCAACAATGGCTTTCTTCTTGCCACTGTTCCATAAAGGCCAGATTTGTGGAGAGCACGACTAATAGTTGTCCTGTGGACAGACTCTCCCATCTGAGCTGTGAATCTCTGCAGGTCCTCCAGAGTTACCATGGGTTTGGGATATTGTTTTATAACATAACCCTGCTTTAAACTTCTCTACAACTTTATCCCTGACCTGTCTGGTGTGTTCCTTGGTCTTCATGATGCTGTTTGTTCACTAATGTTCTCTAACAAACCTCTGAGGGATTTACAGAACAGCTGTATTTATACTGAGATTAAATTACACACAGGTGGACTCTATTCACTAATTATGTGACTTCTGAAGTCAATTGGTTCCACTGGATTTTAGTTAGGGGTATCAGAGTAAAGGGGGCTGAATACAAATACACGTCACACTTTTCAGATATTTATTTGTAAAAGATTTTGGACACCATTTATCATTTTCCTTCCACGTCACAATTATGTGCCACTTTGTGTTGGTCTATCACATAAAATCCCAGTAAAATACATTTTCGTTTGAGGTTGTAACGTGACAAAATGTGGAAAAGTTCAGTGGATATGAATACTTCAGCATGTAAACTCTTCTTGTCTGTAATGATTTGTACTATCATGTGATGTCATGGAATTAGTGGTATTTTACTTGTACACTATTTCTATACTGTCTTAGGAATCTCCGATATTTGATCAGCTGGAGCATAATCTCAGACACATGATAACATGGCATTGAAAAGTCTGCACTGGTGTTTGGTGCCGGCAGGGATCCTCCTGGTTGCCCATGAGTGTAGTTTATGGCAATGGTCATAAACAATGCAGGCAAAGACAGCAGTGGTGTTTATGTGGCAGTCAGATCTACCACATTTCACCACTGTTCTCACAGACCAGAGGGACACCAGTCACCCTGCACATAACATCAACATTAAACTTTCTGTGAGTTTGGAGAATGAAGTGATATTGCCACAAGTATGTTACCCACTAGTCTGTATTGTTTGATTGCATCAAATAAATAACATTAATTAGTTTCCTTGCATGTAGTCCTCTACATTCTGCAAGCATGGACTTCCATGTCAGGTTATAAAATGAGATACCCCAACACAGTGGTTACCAGGAGCTAGATACACTATATGGCCAAAAGTATGTGGATACCTGACCGTCACACCTATATGACCTTTTTGAGCATCCTATTCTAAAACCATGGGCATTAATATAGAGTTGGCCCCTCCATTGCAGCTGTAACTGCCTCCACTCTACTGGGAAGGATTTTGGAGTGTGTCTGTGGGAATTTGTGCCAATACGGTCATTTGTGAGGTCAGGCACTGATGATTGATAAGAAGGCCTGACTCACAAACAGCATTCCAGTTTAAACCAAAGGTTTTCAGTGGGGTTGTGATCAGAGCTCTGTGCAGGCCACTGGATTTCCTCCACACCAGACTCATCAAACCATGTTTTTATGGACCTTGTTTTTATGGTCCACAGGAGCACATTCATGCTGGAACAGGAAAGGGTCTAACTCAAATGGTTACCACAAAGTTGGAAGCATACAGTTGTCTAAAATGTCTTTGTATGCTGTAGTATTAGCATTACCCTTCACT